TATAAAAATTAAGTATTAGCGATCGATCGAATGATAAGTTGAAAAATTGTGCTATGTCGATTTTTTAACTATTTAATTCTACTTGTCCCGAATTTATCATTTATAAAAGTTACGTCCACTTTCCAACAATATTTGGCACAGGTCGTCTACAATTTACGATTGTTTTAAGAACAAATTTAAATTCAGAATTATGCAACACAAGAGAGTTTAGTTATATAAATTGAACATTATAAATTAAATAAGTTACAGATGTCATAAATTGAAATGCTCAACCTATAAATATCAGTATATATTATGCTTCAATGTAAGTCTCAATTTTATCCGGGACGTTCTTTATGAGGTGAAATATTTATATACGTTAAAAAAAATATTGTTTATAATTACAACAATGCTGAATCGAATTGCAATAAAAGTGTGATTATGACGAATTATGGAATTCATATGCAGAATTTCCTGCTAGATATGCCTATATGCGAGAAATCTATTCTAATTTTCGATTTATTTTCGATTTTTCATAAAAAGAATCATTTCTTTATCCGACAGTATTACATTTCGCGACGTTCCGCGCACGTATTCGATGTCGCATGAAAACGAGATCGATGTATGTTAGTGCCGCGCTATATATACATATAATTATATATTATTTTATCATTAAATTTCCCCGATTATTAATCCCACACTGATACATCGTGATTAGATCGACGTCACACATCCGTTGCTTCAATTTGGCGGATTGATATTTTACAGAGAAAATCGGAGGGCCCCGAAGGGGAAATGGCAGCGGGATGCGTCGAATACTGATATAAATCATTTTCGTAACGCACATGGGACCGGTGCCAATGTAGGATTAAGAATTGTCTGGAAATTCACTTCGCAAAAGGTGTCTTACAATAATACTTATCGTTTTCATAACATTTCTATTTGTACTATCTCCAAGACGACAAACGCGAGATATTTACCCTTGGCAATATCGTGCTTCTGTCGTTCCTACGTTTTGATTCTTAAAGTACTCCGACGCGAGTCCGACTCGTTAGTCTCTACATTGGTAATCTCGCCCAGTAGACCGATTCTGTTACTTTTAACGACGTGTCGTTATCGTTATGGTGTCGTTGTGTAGTTTTTAACATATACCTGCGCAACGACGACGCAACGATAACGACACTGTCGTTAACAGTCACGAAATCAGGGGCCAGGCATTCGGTGTCAATGCAAGGTTTTAGGAAAATACGCCGAGGGTAAGATCGGCTTGTCGGACAAACCCGCCCTCCTCAATCCGCCCTGCAAGCCGACGTTTGTACTCTTGGCTTTTGTACCGTTCGAGGACACCGTCGGATTGTTGTTCTCGATTATAGCCGGCACCGACGCCGGACCCGGCGGATTTCCGCCCGGCACTTTGTTCAACGAATTGAAACGCTCCATGGGCGTGCTGGTGCTAGAGATTTGGCCGCTCTTGCTGAACGTCGTTAATCCTACCGTACTGTCCGTTACACCGACACCCATCGACCGAGCCGAGGTGCGCGTGGTCTGGTTAATGTTCGGATTTTGCACTATAGGGTTTTTCAACGGTAACCCCGTTAACGTATTGGGTTGTGTCGTGCTGGGCGCCGGTGTACGCGTCTCGTATCGGTTAGGGAACAACTTGTTCGTCCTGGGTAACGTCAGCGGGACGGAGGTGGGGATCATCACCGGAGCCGGAGTGGTGGTACTTTGCAGAGGCGACTGATTGTCTGCCAATCTCCGATTCAGCCAGTTGATCACTGCGAGAAGAGAGCGGTGGAAGCATCGTGTTAATTTCGGTCGATACGGGGATTCTTTTGTTAATAATGAGGTGATAACACGCCATACGAGTAGCTGGCTTACCGTTATCGTTATTTTTGATGATCTTCTCTTTCTCCTCCAATTGATGCTGCAGCGTCTTGATCTGCTCTTTCAAATTGTCCACTTCACTCTTCGCGTCTTTCGCGTCTCTGACGAGACCCTCCATTTTGGTTTCCAGTTGGCCAACCTCCTTCTGCTTGGCGTCCAACAGTCTCTCTTGTTCGAGCGCTATGCTCGTCCTCAGCTTCAGCTTGGACTTGGTCGACGTGAGCTCGTTTTGCAATTTCGTTAGGATTTCATTGGCCTTCACCAACTCGTCGCTCAAGCTCTTCAAGGAGTTCTGCTTGCGCTGCAATTGAATGTCTTTCTCGGATAGGAGATCCTCCAAGTGCTGCTTCTGTTCCTTGACCGACTTTAGCATTTCTATATGCTTGTTGATGATCACCATTTTGTCCTTCAGTTCTTGTTCGAGCACAGCTACTTTCGTGCGCAAGGTGTTGACAGCTTTATCCTTGTCATGGTAATCCATATCTAATTTCGAATTTTGATTCTTAAGTAAAGTCAGATCACGTTGGGTGATATTGAGTTCCTTCTCGAGATTCTGCAGTTGTTTCATTTGCTCCGAATTGGTAACTTCCAAAAAGGATTGCTTGTCTTTGTACGTCATGTTCTGCGTTCGTAACTCGGCAAGTTCAGTGTGCAACTGTTTCACGGTTTCCGAATGTCTCTGCTCAACCTCCATTTTCTCCTTCTCATTCTGTCGTTGCCATTCTAGCCGCGCTTGAGCCAATCTGAAAAATGTTAATATACTATCTAATCATATAAAGAATGCAAAATGTTTTCATTATACTTTTATTTACATATAGTTATACTGGTCTTGATCGGCCTCTGAGATATTGAAGTTGGTTTATTAAAAATTTGGTTAAATCATTCAGCTCATACAACAGATTTCGCATATAATACAAACCTGTCCTTTTCAATACTTATTTGCTGTGACGAATTCATTTGTATCTGACTTTTCTCGGTCAGATACTTTTGCTCCAACTGGTCCAGCTCTTTTGTTTTTGCCTCCAGTTTACCCGTCAAATCGTTTAATCTTGTTTCTAAACCAACCACATCCCTGTTCTGTTGCAAGGCATTCTCCTTCAGTTGCTTAATCTTCACCGCCATGTGCGTTTTCAAGTCGCAATCACTGGCAGGTGACATGTTCAAGCTCAAGTGGCAGAGATGTTTGAAATTATTCGTCTCCACAAGCTTGAAGTTCCAATCTCCGGACTCCTCTGCTAAGAGCAAGAGAAACTTCGGCGGAGTCTTCGACAGGCTCGCACCTGGAATTTGACATTGCTCCAGCAAGCATATCAACTGAGTAGCAAAGTTATCGAAATCAACCAGCAGACCCTGCTGTGCTTTCAGCACTTTGAAGTCATCTTCGGTGATGAACAAAGAATAAAGAAAACAAGGGTCGTCGTCGTCAGCCAGCAAGACACACAGATTCTGCAATGAAAAATCGAGTACAGGGTACTGAAAGAGGATATGATTACAAGCAGGAAGGTCCATACGTCAAAGCTGTAGAAATGATAAGGAAGGATTCTCCGAGGATTACCTTGCGGCAAACCGGACTGATGCCAGCGTGAATCTCCACGTTGACTCTGAGATCCCGCTGGCGTTCCTCCTTATGCTGCGGCTTGATGTAAACCTTCTGTATCTTCGTGTAAAGAATCTCGACGTTATTCAGCTGGAGGCCTGGGTCGGTGGTCGTTGAGCCACCCGTAATATTGTTTAGATAATTCATCGCTCGGTCGCGCTCTCGGCAAGCACTCGTTGGTCTCGCGTCGCTCAACACGTCTCATTTGTCGATATTGTGAAGAAAATTCCGGCCGAGACGCACTCAACGCGCACAAACCGCTCTGATTGCTTACATCGCAGCGAAACGCAAATCGACGCACGCGTATACGACTGTGCTGCTATCTTGGCAGCACGCGCTGCTACTAACTCGCATCTCGATATTCGGACATCGAGCAGAAGGAATAGACAATATCGAAAATAGAAATCGATATTTAAAAAGTTGATGGTAAAAAAAGAGTTTCATCGGTTGTCTAGTCGGGCTACTGAGGAATAAAAGTTCGTCTAATCCGATTGTTGCTATTAACAAGAAGTTGTGCGATTTATTATCGTTTAATTAAAGATAAAAATCTCATTATATAGTTAGATATCAAGAAAACTGTCGTTTAACTTGCCGTTGAATTGTGCTACTTGAAGAGTAAAAAGTAATCGGTCCGATCTGCCGTGATTTGGAGATGAAAACGGTGCCCGCTCGTAATGATGTCTTTGAAACTATCCATGTAGAACAGAAAACAACGATGACGTGAGATGATGTCAAAATGATGAAAAAATGATGGAAAAGTGGGTTTTATGGTCAATTTTTGTTCTACCTGGATAATAAAATAAAGGCAAACAATATGATGTAACAGCTGTAACTTTATTTCCAAGTAGTAGGACTCAACGACGGATCAGGCTAACTTTTTATTCTTTTTATAGCACCATCAAACAATACGGGTCCCATAAACTTTTATTTTTACTTACTAATAAGGAATAAAAATCTTAACTTGATAACACAATATATCACTGTAAAATAAGAGCTAGGACAAATCAAGCTTCAAACAAATTCCAATAAAGTATGTATCCATTATGTAACACATATTAATTTCATGTACGTTCTTTAACACGTTTGTTGCCAATCACGCGATATCGCGTGATGCGAGTTCTCATCAAACGGCCGATCACGCCATATCGCGTAATAGATATTTAGAGTACATAAATCCTATGTACATAATAATAAAAGCATATAAATAATATATTAACTTATTTTGAGCACAATAAAAACTAAATAAAAAAATAAAAAAATTTGGCCACCACACGAAATTCCAATTTTCAACTTGGCAATGAACGTGTTAAACGTATGTAACATATCGTAACTGTATCATATACATTTAAAGAACGTGTATGAAACTAACCGTGCTACTTCTGGGTATGTACATATGTATATGCGTGCATACGAGGGTCATATACACATTGAAGTTTATCAATGAGATGTAACCTTATATTTAGATAAATTATTGGCACAATAAAACTAAAGAAGATAATAAATTCTTCAATAAAAACAGAACTTCGAGTGAATATCAACTTTTCATCGGACATCGTCCGCCTCTAACAATAATCGACATAAGAATCGACATGATACATTTCCTTGTAATTTTTCTTTTTTCCTCGTTCTTCTATCAGAAGAGAGAGAGAGAGAGAGAGAGAGAGATGGTTTACAATATATAGTAAACCATCTCACTTCTTAAGTGCAGGAAGTGCAATATAGTGCGGTTAAAGGGAACAAATCTCCAACGTTCTTATGTTGAGTTAGTAGTACCTCGGGAGGAAGTGTCGGGATGAGAACTCCGCTGTTCATCTCGCGATTTCCCTTTCGTAATGGATTACGAGCGGCGCGACGGGAAAAACCACGGACGGAGAACGAAAGGTATCGCAAAGATCGTTGCTCGGAATTCAGCCGGCCGCACGTTAAATTCGCTGTGTAGCGCGCGGCACGGCCAAATTCGAACGATTTACTCTTATTTCCGTTAAATTAAACATGGCCACCGCAAAATTCGGGCCATTATAGTCGGAGAAACATCGATTGCGCTCACGGTGTCCGAAGATCGGCACCGTTCGGCGGAGTCGGACGGTGTCGTTTTCCCTTCGCTCGCCCTCGGAGCCGCGAATGCCGGCGATCGTCGGCGCCGTGGATCCTCGATCGTGGATTTCGGACTTACGCCCTACTTTTCGACGCGCGTAGTAGCCGAGGACGCTTTGCCTTCCCGCGCGACTCCGCCGGACGTCGGCGGATTGGCCAGCCGGCGCGGCGCCGGCCAATGGGCGCGCGATCCGCCGCCGTGACGTAGCGTTTAAAGCGCCGTAAGTCGGAGTCGGTCCCGCGGTCGCCATGCCGTACGCTGTCCCGCGATTAACAAGCCCGTTTACCCGCGCGTTTTCGCCACGGGGAAGCGGCGTGACGGCGCACCGACGTGCGCGTCGCGACGCCGGAGTGCCGCGTGAGTGCGCGAGTGCGTGTGCCGCCGGTGACGACGCAACCAGCGGCCGCTGAAGTCGCTCGGACGGAGTCCTGTGTCCCGCGCCCGGACGGTTGGCGGACGGTTGGGGGATACACGGCGGCCGCGGCATGACATCGTCGGAGCAGCACGGGGAACAGCATGTGAGTACTCGATACGATCTCGAAGTACTCGCGGGGTAGGCTGTGCGATCTGCGGTTCTCGAGCGGTCGTCGTCGCGATGGAGCGTAAATCACGCCGTCCCCGAAATAAGCCGCGTGTGCCTCTCGAGCACGTCGGCCGGTGGTGCTGCTCGCAGCGCCTTTTCGATTCGACCATATCAGGATCGAACGGCCGGAACGTGCTGCCACCTGACCGGCCGCTCCGGAACTACCAGCTGGGATTTTTATGCGTTTTTCTGTCTCCTCTTTCTCTCTCTCTCTCTCTCTCTCTCTCTCTTTTTCTCGGTTTCATTTGCTCACCACTGCGACTGCTGATATATACACGAGTACCGTACGATGGACCTGATTGTAATTCGGTTTATGCATATTTATTTATTTATTACTATGCAAATGGGGGGAATATCCTTTGATAACATGGAAAGTACAGAAAAAGAACACTTGTGGTGTGATAAGACTCGCATGGAACGTAAATTTAAGTCGGTGCAAAACTTCATTTAACCTTTTGCGCAACAAGACGACGGACATTCTGAAAAAGTAAAAATATATTGGCCGAAGGGAGCACGGAAATTTGCTCGCGGATTTTAATTTCTTCCGTACACACAGATAGATGGTCCAGGCTGGCGTTTAATTTAAATGCCCAGTGAGACATTGCGCTCGTGCATGTGTGTGTGTGTGTGTGTGTGCCGGAAGATCAAATTTATGCGATTTTTCGGGACGCTTCTCGCGGCCATGTATCACGAGTAAAATTGGCCACGTGTGAACGGAGATTGCAAATTAGCAAACACTTATGCACGCACACATATACAGACACACACATGCACGCGCGCGCATGTCCCTTCATTGTCGATTTTGTGAAACAGAATGAATCGAGAACGTATCGCGTTCGATGACTCGGCCAGGAGCGTTGCGTACAGGATAGTTGGGTTAATATCGAACTGGCGGAAGTCGATATCGCGGCTTAAAGGGAAGCAATAAAGCGACGTGTGCGCGCGTGTGCGTGCGCGCGTATTACAATCGAACGCCGCACGTATTCGCAACTATCACTTTCCTACACACAAGTCGCCTTTCGCATAGCGGCCAAGAGGTCAGTGCACTTGGAATCTTGCCGCGCGCATGCGTGCATCTGGCGCAATATTTTTGCGACTACGGTATAGGAAAGCCCGCGCGTGTTACGCGAAAATAGACGTAATCGTTCTCGCTTCTGATTTCATTGCGAATCGAATCGGCCGATTCTTTCGCAATCGGCCGAACGCATCGGCGTGATTGCGTCGTAAAAAGTTTCGGTTCCTCGCGAGTATCCGCCCGTTGACGTGTCTCGCAGAAGGAAAATAATGTATATTCATCCGCGTCCTCTTATCGGCGAGATGTCTTTGTGCTTTTTATCAAGGCTTGTTAAATATTTTTCGATCTTCACTGATGGTACTACGCGGTGAAAAAATATTGGCTCGCGGAAAAAAAAGTCTGTAGTTGCGTCAACCAGAAAGGAAACAACCAGATGTACGTTTCGGTTGAAAGAAACAGAATTTCTGGCTACGTAAGAATCACGTTTGAGTCGTGAGGACCAGAAATTCTGTTTCCTTCAACCAAAATGTATCTGGTTGTTCCTTACCTGATTAATGCAACTAGACTTTCTTCCGCGTTGAATCAACGTGACGGTAATCGTAAATGCGTTTTAGATGAAGGAGGAATTTCTGATTCATAAAAACTAAACAAAAATTCCCTTCACGGAAGAAAGGAATTAACTGTCCATATAGTACAACTAAAATTTAGCTCCCAGACCTAGTTTTTAGCTTTCACAGCTAGATATAAAGACAAAAAGAATTCAAGCTGAATTAAGTAAATTTCACTTATATTATATGAACAACTAATTTTTATGCTGTATAGAAAATTTTAGTTACTTCCGGTGCCAACTATGTTTTATATTAATAGCAACATATATATATATCAGTTTGTCACTGACACTATAATAACGTTTACTAGAAAAAATATATCTCCTAACTATTTTTATGGTTAAAATCAAGAAACGCAAAAAATTAGTATATTTAACACTGAAAGTAACCATAATTTCCTATCAGTATATCTGTGAAAGTTACTTCTTATTTTTCCGCTTTCCCTTCAACCAAAAACGCCTTTGCGTCACGTTGATTCGGCCAATCTTTTTCTCCGTGCACTTATTTGAAAATTCTGCCTTCCTTCTCTACAAGCGCACTGTACATAAAACGTTGCGCCGTCTGTACATAAAACGAAGCAGATATATGTTTGATGTTCGGTGGAAAAGAGATGGATAAATAGAGAGAGAGAGAGAGAGAGAGAGAAGACGGAAAGATAGCGAGACAGTTTGTAAAGTGCAGCTATACAGACTCTAGGCAAACATCGAGCTTCTGTTCGAGCCGCTTCGTCGAGTCCCTCGTCCCTGTTTCGCGCTCGCGACGATAGTTCCCAGGGCGCTTGGAAAGTAACGAAGTCTCGTCGCAAAAGTGGAGCTGAACACTCGGTTACGAAGCCGTGACTCATCTGCGATGCGCCCGCGAGCGCGCGCGCGCGCGCGATAACGAGGCCGCTTATTCCGCTTTTCGCAAAAACCCCGCGTCTCGAGTGCGTTAACGCGCACCTCGGGAGGTCTTTGTTTCGCGGCAGCCGCGAGACGGTCGCAACGTCGCGCGCA